AATAGTTACAATATTGCAACACAAAGCCGTTCTAGATTATAACAAGCTTAAGCCTAAATAATATTTCACGATCTTACACATTTTCGTCATTGTCTGTGGACTACACCTACACCATTTTCGGTACATTGGCGCGCTCGGTTACTTCCATTTATTCATTGTGTAATCATTCGTGACGTCACACATCATGCTGCCCTCCTTATCATCTAATGTAATCTCAGATGTCTGTGAATGTAACCGACATTTTTCGTTAATTCCCAGTAGTTCCATGTACCCAGTAGTTCCATGTGGAACAATTGTAAATTGAGTAATTAACACATCTGGAATTAGCGAATTATACAACTCCTTATAAGGGCTTTTTTATATCTTATTTAGTTTCAGTTTTATTGTTAAGCAAAGTCAACGTAAATGCCATATTTCGAAGAAAAAAATACTTTAGGCGCCACAATCTCGAAAGTTATCAAAATGCAAATGCGATAGTTATGACAAGGAGGAATATGGGAGTTGTCGAACGAGTTGGACGTTTCGTTTGATGGAATAGAAAGTGATTAACATTGGCTACCAATTTATCGTTCGTTACGCTAAATCACGTGACATTTCGTACGCTTATGTCAATCCCATACATTGTCTTTCTATTCCATTGGCGATATCGCTAACAAAAAGACACGTTGGCTAGGCCCTCATTATGGTTCTGACGTCATCGTCGATCGCGTTAATTAATCGTCTTTGTCAAATATGTTCACTATTTTTCGGACAACTTGGAAAGTTTAGCATTTAAAAATAATTAAGTTACGTAACAACTTAATTATTTTTAAATGCTAAAAGAAAAAAAAAACAGGAGATACATCTTTTTTATTTTATTATGGAGCAAGGTCCCTTAAAGTAGATAGTTTTTATCGACTTTAATTGGAGATTTCATACATATTAGGTCCCTTGAAAACAAAAATGAGAAATTACTTCTAAGAATATGTCATATTCTTAGAAGTAATTAGTGCCATCAACCACATTTAACATTTAACATGTCATTTTCAAAATTTTCCTGTTTATTATACAATATTACCAACGCATGAGTTGTACGTAGATATTGAACATCATCATTATATAAATACAGGGTGTAAATTTGGCACCCATATTTATTTGGCAATTAAAGTTTTCAACTTTCGTTTTACGACATTTGACGTAACAAGTAATAATAAAATATAAAAAAAAATGTTTTTCATTTTCTATAATTATGTTTCATTTGACGCTGAAGAAACCTGGTGAATCTTATGTATATGAATGTGGGGAGAATAACCTAAAGAACAAGCAATTTGCGTTTTACGCTTTGACGTATTACATTCGAAACAAAGAGGAATTGACAGGTGTATTTAAAGTTCTCACTGGAATACAGATATTTATATTCCGTGGTATGCAGAAAGATTCCAAAGAGAAGAAACGATTTAGGATATTGCAATAGTTATTTATTCAACAAGAGAGCAAAGTCGTTTTTTGGTGCGAGTGCTATTTTTGAGTCCTGAGCAAGCGAAAGATTCTATAGTTGAATCACGAGCGTAGCGAGTGATTCAGAATTAGAATCTTGAGCGAAGCGAGGGACTCAAAAATACGAGCTGCAAAATAACTTTGCTCTCGCGTGATACATACAACTTTTCACCTCAGCAGCGAGAACATATATATATACTAAAGGGACAAGTAATAAAAACACGTCATGAAAGCAAATGCATCATTGTATATTTACAAAAATACAGAATTTACAAAAAATTAAAAGTGGAACGTGAAGTTTGTACAATTCTGTAGATTAAAAGTTACTGTTTTATTTGGAACAGTAATCGTCGTAGTGTTTGCTACTTGAGTAGTGGTCGAGGTTTCATTATGAGTTGAGCTGGATTGTGACCCTTCCCGCACCGTAAAAGTTGGTGATTCTGGGCGGGTTTGGGTATGATTCGCATCACTGGAGGTGCTAGGTTGTGCCCAAGAATGCGAAGTCTGTTTTAGGTTTATCGAATCTATAATACGCTTACAGATTTTTGATTTATTTTCTATTGAATCTTCGATATATCCTTCAGCCACTGTATTTGTTCTCCAACCGCCATGGCGCTTCAACGTTGTGAGGTCAGCTCCTCCATCTGCCAAAAGAGTGGCTGATGTTCGCCTGAAGCAGTGGCCAGTGTATAGCTGCGGCTCTTTCAAATCTAAAAATGTTGCGATTTCTCGTGCAGTCGCTCCTATTTTATTAATACCCATCGGTTGCCGCGTACATTTTCCATTACGATATTGTATGAAAAAGCGGTCTGTGATCGTATTGGGAGGGCGCAATGCTTTATATTTCTGGACAACGTGTGCGTATTCCTCACGGACGACGAACGACCTGTCTATATTTGTTTTCGTATTTGGCAGGTTAATCAAAAGAAGGTCGCTGGAATGTTGTTCAATGGCATTAGGAGTTAGATTCAATAACTCGTTGGAGCGGCATGCTCCGTTTATTCCAATGATAAAGGATGACCTGAAACATAAATAAAACGTCAATAAGTATTGTGTCTTTTAGAGCAGTCTTAAACGTGGATTTCTCATAATATGTAGCGTTATTTTTAACCATAAAGTTCCAATACAAGTCGCCAAAACAACACATTTAAGTAGGTAAGTATAATTATGTTGATAGAAATTGATAACGTAACTACCAAAGTCCAAATTGTATTAACAATTAAAATATAACGCTACGACAACAGTAATAATATTCAATACTTACTTTTGCGGCTAGGAAAGTGCAATCTGGAGCTTCATTAAGAAATTTTTCAATATTAGCAGCCGTGAAAACTTTCGATTTTTTTGATTTGTGGCCGACGGCCTATCTTTTCAAAAACGCAATCAGCTTTGCGTAATTGTTTATATGGACGTTATTTTTAGTTTGTAATGTAGCTTTCAACATCGAATATATACTCCACATCGTTGATGGCTGTTTTGTATGCGACATTTCAATGAAATAAGACAGAAGCACAGTTTCCGACATAGTGTTTCCTGCGCCCTTTTCGTGCCTCCATTTGTCAAAATGTTCGTAGACTTTCAGGTACTTTTCACGAGATTTACTAGGCAAGAAACTTAGTTCAGCATTTTTAACAGTTTCAACTAACTCTGGAGGAGTTAAAAAATTGTCGTCTTCACTGGAATCGCTCATATTTTCTATTTTATTACGTAAGTAGGTATCCAATTAACTATCAAAGAAGTACCTATCGCAAGCAAATAAGAAATTTTGAATTAAAAAAAAAAGAAAGCGCGCTTTTATTTATTGCGTTCCGGAACGTTCTCGCTTGTATTCATTGAAATCACACATTGTAAATATTGTTATCTTTAATTGACGTTATAAATTTAGCATATTTTTATTGCAACACTTGCTTTACTTTTAATGAAAATTGTAAAAACTAAATTATCATAGTATAAAATCGTATTTGTATTTCTCACATAATTTATCTTTTAGATGAATTGACGAGTTTCCGAACGTGCACTCGTTCAGCCATTTTGTGGGGGTCTACTATGTAGCTTAAATATCGAAGTACGAATAAACCATAATTTTCTTTTTCCTTTTTCTTGTAATGAAGTGAAAGGGACGGAGCGACTGATTTTGAAATATGTCGAATTTGTATTAGACCCCTTCGCATTAAATGACAAGTCTCCACTTAAAAAGCAAAAATCTACTTTTTCTCACGGAGTGAGCAAAATAAGATTTTGCTCACTGATTTCACACAGCAAAATAGCCTTGTTCGAGCTGCTGAGGTGAAATAGTTTTTTTTATAATATCAAGTGACGGGACGAACAAGTTTATCAACAGCTTGTACAAAACACAAGGAATATCAAATTTGTTATCCTTGATATCGTAACACTTGGGAGGTAGCGTTGCCGGCTTCCAGATAAAGTCGGGCAATGTTAGAGTTTTAGGATACGTATCCGGCGTTAGGCTTTTTATATTTGGGCGAGAGAGGCGTCTCGATGCAATAATAGATAGTTAATAAATAATGACTGTTTTATTAAATTTTATTGTTATTTCATTAGAATTTAAGAAGAATTTTTGATAAATAATCACAAAATCGTATTTAAATAAAAAAAATGACGTAATACGTCAAATGACGTAATGACGTAGTTTGAATACGTAAAACGTATTCAAACTACGACACAAAATGTGTCGGTTTGAGGAAAAATGTAGGGTGTCCGGCCCCGTTTACCCAAATTTTAAATTTTAAACTGGTTGGTCTGTCCGGCTATTTGGTTTTAAGACTTGGCAACCCGACTGGCAAGGGCGAATGTTTTTGAACTTGTTCGACGTACTTACACTGAGGGAAATTTCTATCAAAAATTGATGTTCCCAATTGAAATAAATGAGATAAACCCATTTCAAATGTTTAAGATCTTTATTGCGAAAGTTATATTTGAGATAGGTGCTCAAAGGAACGTCATCGCGTCACACAAATTACTTGAGTTAAAAAATCAAGATGGCAAATCAAAATGGCTTCCTTCCATTCGATTGAAAACTAGTATCCACTAGGAATCTTAATTATCGGCCTTAGTACACGAAATTTAAGTCACTAAATATGGAACGTGCTTACACTTCTGGCCCAGGTCGACGATGCTCATGACTATTATGTGATGTAAAAATACTTTTGCGGACAATTAAATTTTATTTAAATCTCTATAAGATGTAATTTCATGATCCTGACCTCTTTAAATATTCAAGTTTTTATAATATGTTATGCTGTTTATTCACTATAACTAATTGCCTGCGGTTGCATTTTCAAACAATATTCTATGCACTTAATTAGGTACTTATATTATTATTTTTGAGGGATACAAAACTAGTGGACTGTATGATTGCTAAAATTAAATATTTCCTAGTTTTCAAAGCTTCTTTTATTGCTAGTTCACAAATTCATCACGTAAAACAAAAAAAAAACATTCGCAAACCTCACGTCAATCAAAAAAATATGTATAATAAAAATTAAAAATGCAAAAGAGTTTGCAAGAATTTTATTATAAACTTATAGTCAAGTATTAATTCCTAGATGAGAGATCTTTACTCGATATCAAGAACCTAAAACATTACTTGAAAAATATCATCAACAATCATATTTTATTCACTTTTCCAAAACAAGAGGCACGAAGTGCAAATATGTTATTAATATTACAAAAAAGTTGTATCATAATATTTATTAATACACTTAGGTACACTGTAAAACTCAGTTTTCTCTCCCTCTTTCAACTTTAAGTTAAACAAGTTTTCTCATTAGTTGATAGAAAGTGATCAAATTTATGCAGAATATCCATTATGTGTTTCCCGGGAGAAACAGTGTATGTAAATATTTGACAATAGCCTTGTAACGTGTAGTCAGGGTGTAATACACCCTTTGAGACTAGTGTCTTCAAAACAATTTTCAAGTTTTCTATTTGCTCATTAGTCGGTATGTCATTCTCCGCGTAATTTCCTAAGAACATTATTCCGATAATCTTGCTGTTAAATCCTCGTAACATTGCAGGCACCACGTTCGCACCTCTGCCTTCGAAGATCAAGCCTTTGGCACCTACGAGATAATTTGGACCTATGTCACCATATCTCTCTATATGATCCATTTGTATAGCTTTCATAAGAAGTTTGCACGTGTAAGTAGAGGTACAATTTGAGGTTCCTGAGTGTGCGATGATTGCTTGTTTCACAGGGAGTTTAAGGAACATATTGTTGTTTACAACTACCGCTTGCCATTCGGGGCGTTTCAGATACCACGTCGCGTTGATACCTGAACGAAAGAAAATGAAATTTTATTCTATTGAAGAATATACACGAAACACGCGAGGGATGTTGACAATTGAGCACAAGTTTAGCCAATACACGAAAGGGTTTTATCTACTTGATTTCATGAGCGTAAATCAACTCCATATTACCTAAGTCGATTAATGCTGGTTGTTCAGATAACATAAAATAGCCGAGGTAGATTGCAAGCCCGGAAGCTACAACGAGCGCCCAGCACACGAAGACTGCTACGCTACAACGTAGACGTTTCTCTTGTGCAGGCGACACCAGCTCCAGGCAGAGGAATTTGCCTGAAACACCAAATCCTAATGCAACAAATTGGTTTGACTTCATATTGTGACGTAAAAAGAGTCTTTGAATTCATTGAAAGATACACAACGTTTTAAAATTTTGTAACTTGGATATGGTTTCAAAGAAAATTGATCAACCTCTATAATTGTACACTATTGACATTAAATAAGATACGTGGAGCAACGCCGAGGTTATCGATTAAAAGTAGCTAGTTTCGCTCATTTAAATAACATAATAGCAGTCTTAATTGTTATCAACATTTAGATAAAAGTTTCATTGTCGTCAATGGATTTGACAATTATTCCCGGGATGCAGGTTTTTAGTAATTTTTGCCTAATGTGTTGTATGTTGTTCGTGTACATTATGGAATTGTAATTCTAGTTTTATTTTAATTATCGTTGTTACTCAGGTGTGTGTGAGTGTGTTTATGTGCGCGTGCAATATATGTGTGTGTTGAGAATTTTTAGTCTGTTTTTAATCATTACGTCAGGGCGCCGTCTCTCGCTCAAAGTTACGCCATAAGTGTCTATCACTGAGTGCACCGACGTCGGTGCAAGCGTTCAGAGAGTGACAGACGCACATTAGAATTCCTAAGAATTTAAATTGGTTGCTTGTGATCAACGATTTATTTGCGATGTTTCAATATTATATAATCTCAGTACAGAGTACTAAAAAAACCGACCTCAAAAGTAAGTGGAATTACGTTTATTTGCTAAGTTTTATTGAAATATCCCCTAGTTCGCCACTATACAGGACTTGACACTGGAGATAATAAAAATCGGTTCTCACTACTCAAAGTATATTGAGAGAAAAACGCCTTGAATTAGAGAAATAGCAAAATCAACCATTAAAGTAATTGCTCCTAAATTAAAGTTAGGCGCTATTTATAAAAATGAATCTTCATGCGTGAACAGCTACCCTTCGAGGTGGATGCTTTTCTTCAAAATGAAATGGGACCACTATGAAAGTACCCCCTTTCCAATAAAAAAGAATCATGAAAATCGGTTCACAAATACCGGAGTTATCGCGTAACATACATACAAAAAAAAGAACATACAGTCGAATTGAGAACGTCCTTTTTTGAAGTCGGTTAAAAATACATACTTATTTTGAATTATTTTATGTAACCGAGATTCAAGCAATCGACTTGAATCATTTCTTTGTGTGTTCTATCGTTCTACTTTGTTTTTATTGTACCTACCCACTTTTTATTATCCGTGCCTGACCTAGGTAAGGACTTTTTTATTCATAGATATTTTATTGCCGTGTTACGTTAAATAGACTAATCTAATAAACATCAAGAATACTAATACAATAATTTATAATATTCGTCAAGAATAATAATAATATAACTTATTGAGTCAAAGTGCCACACAACCACGCCCATAACCTGGTCTCAATCTAGCGAATTCCCTGTACTACGAGTGCTAGAGTAAATAATTTCATTTGGTATAACTCAAAACACCCAGAGCAAATTTAGTAAAGTTCATTTCGAAAATTAGTCCTACTGAGAGTGAACCGTTCTCCCATCGCTTTACTAAATAAATAATTGTAATTTCAAAGTCGCAGCCCTTGCGCATTCGGTTCGGTTCGGTATTCACCTCTATGAGCGCGTGCTTAGGTTCCTTTTTCCTCGCAGTGAGCGCCTGGTGAGATTAGTCAAATTGAGTAGGCTATTATAGCGTAAGTATTTTCGATTTTGTTTTGTATGTCTTATACACTTAGTTGAAAGTTTGTTATTTTTTAAGGCTTTTATTTATCTCTTATAATTATTGTTCACACGCTACTTTAGCATTAGGTTTGGTTAGGAAATAAACAAAATTCTCAACCCGCATGGCCTCAGTGTGGTGAACTATATAATGAGGAGAGCCGGGTCCAGGTTTTTACACAGATTGATACAGTACCAGTAGCTTATAGCAGTTACGCAATTTAGTCGATATAATGTATACCTTATAATACGGTACGGTATAATGTAACTTGACCAAACTGCAAATTCAAGTGCTAGTCCGATGTTAAACGCTAAGTAATCGATTTTGATAATTAAACACTTATTATGGTCTGAAAAAGTAGGTCAAAATGATAGCAAAAAGGCTTGTGTTATTAGCGAAATGATTTGACTGTTGTATCGACAACATTTGCTATCAATGATGAGATAATGACATTAAATAAAGGTGCTTACACTAAATATGCTTAGAATAGAAATACGAAAAAAAAATTAAGTGGGTGGTTAATTCCATCGAGTTTAGTGCTTAAGGAGTAGTTACCAGCCCTTTGTTCACCGGAGGATGTGACAATTAATTATATAATATCAGAGTATACTTACAATCATAAATCGAGAGGTAAACGTTTTCTCAATTGACGTAAATTCGCAATACCTTATCCCATTACATATTTGGAGTCTTAGAATAATAACGCATAGAATGATAGTTTCATGAAAAACGAACTGTCACAAGTGAGGCAAAAATCAAATTCATGTAGGCGTAAGCAACTTGTATTTACGCTCGTCGGCACGCACACAAATATACAAATAATGATGCCATGGAATAACATTTCCCCACTTTCGAGGGAAAGTTGCTTACGCCTACATGAATTTGATTTTTGCATGAAATTGTATCTTGCTTAATTCATCGTTAAGTTAGAGGTGCCTACAGATTTGCTCGATTTTGTCGATCGTTACTGTTGATCGACAACGTCAAGTGACAGGAATTTTCAAAAAAATATTTTTGGTAATCCCTATGGAAATGGCATTTATATCTGAATACACGAAGGCGGACACGACTTTTCTCATTTCTAAATCTAAGATGGCGGACACGACTTTTGAAATAAATGCAATATGGGTATCATTTTCGAGGTATTTGGGGGTGCTCATTACGCATATGGCACTCATTTCTAAATTCAAGATGGCGGGCACAATTTTTCATATAATGGCAAGTTGGGGATCGTTTTCGAGGTATTTGGGGGTGCTCATTAGGAATATAGCACTTATTTCTAAATCCAAGATGGCGGACATGACTTTTCAAATAATAGCAAGTTGGGTGTCGTTTTCGAAGTATTTGGGGGTGCTCATTAAGAACATGGCACTAATTTCTAAATCCAAGATGGCGGGCACGATTTTTCGAATAATGGCAAGTTGGGTGTCGTTTTCAAGGTATTAGCGGCTGCTCATTCCGAATATAGCACATATTTCTAAATCCAAGATGGCAAAGAATTAGAAGTCTCGTCCCCCATCTTGTATTCAGATATACATGCCATTTCCTTATGGTTTACCAAAAATACATTTTTGAAAATTGTTGTCAACCATCTTGGATTTCGAAATTAAAGGCCCATTTAGATGGGGAGAGTTTCTCGCACGCTTCGTGACGAAAACTCGTAGGCGATTATCGTAAGCAATAATCGCCATAAGATTATCGTATCATAATGTTTACATTCAGGCGAGAACTAAAATCTCGCCTACGATTATGTCATACGAGATTCGCAAGCAACTTAATCGCCTCCTCGACTGTTTACACGGAGAAATATGTAGTAAGGAGATTCTTGCTTACGAGTTTTCGACTTGTCTAAACACGATCTCGTATGACATTTTTTCAAGTTCATACGATTATCGTACAAATCGGTTCGAACCGTTTTGAGTGCGAGAATTGCGGTATGACTATGGATATATCAAAATGATGCAAAAACCATTCAAATTTGAAACTGCTGATAATATTAAGTTCATTGCACTGTATAGAAATATAATTTTGACTTATCATTTTTTTTTAAATTTTATAACTACTGACACAAACAAAAACTGACAATTATGATAAATTTATAGGGCGAGTGAGTGCGTGCGCGCGGGCGTGCGTGCGTGAGTGAGTGAGTGAGTGAGTGGTGAGTGAGTGGTGAGTGAGTGAGTGAGTCAGTGAGTGGTGAGTGAGTGAGTGGTGAGTGAGTGAGTGGTGAGTGAGTGAGTGGTGAGTGAGTGAGTGAGTGTGTGAGTGAGTGAGTGGTGAGTGAGTGAGTGAGTGAGTGAGTGAGTGAGTGGGTGAGTGAGTGGGTGAGTGAGTGGTGAGTGAGTGGGTAAGTGAGTGAGTGAGTGAGTAGGGAGTGAGTGGGGAGTGAGTGAGTGGGGAGTTAGTGAGGAGTGTTTATTGAAAAGTACATTTACTTGAAAAGTCGTGTCGGCCATCTTGGATTTAGAAATAAATGCTATGTTCGTAATGAGCACCCCCAAATACCTCAAAAAGGATACCCAACTTGCCATTATTTGAAAAGTGCGGGCACGATTTTGCATCCTGGATTTAGAAAGGAGTGCCATATTCGTTACGAGAGCACCCTAAATACTATATTGCCCACGCTATATTCGACCACAGAGGCACTCACTCACTCAACGTTATTTGAAATTTTTTTTTCGCGCTCGTTCCATTAATTCTTGTCTTAGAAAAGCAGTGATAATTAAAACACCCTCGCGCACTGCATTCGTGGTAGAAACGGCTGGCACAGAAACTCGAAATACGATTTTTGCTTTCGAGTTCTGTTTACACGGAGACGTTCAATATTGAAAGGCGAGGAGATTATCGCTCACGTGGACGGTCGATAATCGCGAATGTTTAGACGAGGAAAGTTTTTTTATAGTCTTTCGATAATCGCATCTTCGAGACGAGAAACTCTCTCCATCTAAATGGGCCTTTATGCTACATTCGTAATAAGCACTCTAAAACTCCTCGAAAACGTCTATAATTCTCAATCGTTACTGTCGATCGACAATGTCGAGAAAATCTGTAGGCACCTTATTAAATACTACCCAATTCTTATTTAACTCATATATGAACAAAAACCTACAAGCGAGTTTAAGTGCGACAATCGAATTTGAATATATAAATAGCCTGATATTATCTGTGAGTATGTTTACATGAAAAGTACACGATAACAATTAAGAACCTGAACCTGAAAGTTATTTATACACGATTTTGGAGAACTGACGATGACTTTTTAGTCAGTGTTAGTTTCCTGAAATAATTTTAGTTAAGAACTTTTGAGTCTGGGCAAGACAATTTTTTTAAATGAGTGTATGATGAACAAGAATAATGATTTTTCACATGAAACTAATGAAGGCAAATACTAAATATATTTCGTAAAAATAGCTAACGTAAATTCCCTACAATGTTATTGCGGCGGTGTACATTTGTAGAAATTTTGCAACCGTCGCGATATTGCCTATTCTCAAAAAAATTACGTAATATAATTATTTTGAAACAGAATAGCAAAATGGGGAGAAAAAACCCGTTACTTTGCAACATTTTCGTATCTTGTTGCAACGAAATTAATTTTCTGTTTTAGTGAATATTTACATAAAAATACAATTTGAAACGGGTTACTTCCTTGTGGAATGTGATGTTAGTGTCTATTTTATATTTGTCTGATCTATTTTTAAACCCAATTACCGCACATTTCGTCATTTTCAGCAAAAATTTTTGAGCTGCTCGCGGTGCAACTTGACCTTGAGCACTGACAGCCCGCTCGCTCGTGTAAGCCCATAGGGCGTCCTACAATTTGCCTCACTTAGCGTGTGCGGGCTAGGTTTCTATGTTTGGAGTCTGTAAACTATGTTAAGTTTCCTAACACCCAACTACAGAGTTGAAGTCAAACAAGTCGTTATTGCTATTTCTCAGTTTTATAGTGCAACTTAAATATGAAGAATTTTTTTTTTGCACAAAATTGCACAAAACTTGGTATTTTTCGTGCTACAGATCGTGCCGAAAGTTGGATTTTTCGCATGCTTTTTACTTTTCCATTTTTTTTTAAATTTACTGTTGTTTCAAGTCTTAAACATAGAACTAAAGAGGTTGTATATTTATTTAATATTTATGTGCTTTGTCACGTAAGTCATTCGATGTTAAAACTTATATTTACTTACAAACATCTTATTTGTTTAAATTGTGTGTTTTATAAAACAACGGGTTACATTTAAAAATACCAAAATATTTTCCATAAAGGTGGCTGATTGAGTATTAACATTTAACAGTGACCGGATTGGAGTATTACGCGAACCGCTGGGTGCCGCGCCACTAAAATAGTAATTTCAATGTGGCTGAATACTGGCAAGATTCGCTCTGGACCTTTTGGAGGGAAAAGTGTCGTTTTTATTTTGACTTTCAATTATTTTGTGAAATCTAGTTTAAAGTGGAATAGGATAGTGCTATTGTGCCTTAATCGAAGATTAAAACGCGAAATTATACGAATCTCGAACTAAAATACCCGTATCGGCCCGTTTTATGGAATCCCGAGTCAATCCAAACACGCCGCCTCAAATTGCCTATCCTCTTTGTGGCGGCCATATTTACAGAAACATAATTAAACTTCATGCACCAAAAAAGAATAATGTACCAAGACTTGGCTGTATGGTGTAAAACCTTTGCCTTTTCCTTTATGGAAAGAAGAAAAAAAAAAGAATACTGGCAACAGTTGCATTGTACTCTGAATTTTTATCAGGCAAAGAAATAAAATGAGTTTTTTTTAAATACTGATTCATTTTGCTTTCAATATAGTTTTTTCGCAAATGCAATAAAAAAACGTCGTTTGATACACGTGAGGATATGTCATTTTCGCTTGTCTCAAGTTTTGACCCTCGCCTCTGGCTCGGGCCAAGAAGCCTCGAGTCTTGTGAATAATGACTAACTTCCGCACTTGTATCAAAAATATTCTGGTATGTGTCTCTAAAAATAGTATACGAGTCTTATCTACATATGTGTCATTTCCTACAAAGATTATAATTTTTAACATTCACAACTTCACTTATCATATCAATTATGCGGCTTAGAATCATTTCGAAAGATTACAGTTTATCAATGGACAGTCGTTGATAGATATAGTTTTTGCTTTTAATTAAATATGTGTGAAGTATCAACTACAACATGAATTTTATCTTTTGCTTTCTCAGTACACGACATGATTAAGTACAAGAACGCTCAACGTATGTAGGTAATAATAATGTTTTTTTATGATACCAAGTGACACGACGAACAAGTCACGCACCTGGTGGTAAGTGACACGCCTGTCCATAACAGTTGCATTGCCACTCAGAGCTTTAAATCGCAAACATCTGAGGGGCACTGCCTCTGACCTCGTCACTCTGAGACAAGTTGACAAGTCCCACGTGCCTGTAATTTCACTAGCACCCTTCAAAACCGAAACGCAGTAAAGCTCATGCACATTACTGCTTGGCGGCAGGAATAGGTAAAATACAACTCTTTCACAAGCTCTACTGTTACAGAAGTGTACTCGTATGTTTATAATGTTATATGTGATTGCTAACGCAATTACCAAAGTTTTTTGTCATTAAGCCTTATAAAAAGTTGGTTCTTACTATCTACTTTTAGTTACTCGATGACTTGAGTTTGACGTATATTGCCAGTCCAATGTCCTAAGGCCGGGGATATACTATTGGTTCTTAAAACACGGATCTTCTTCATTTCGCTTAGGTAGATTTGAATGATTCTGATTGCAGCACATTAATTTACAACAAATTTGACTAGTAAGTATGTAGCTCTACTCGTATTAACAATAATGATAACATCGCGTGCGTCGCTACAGGAATCCCAAGTTAACATCTGTGCCTAACAGTGTTTACTTTTATTGATCGTAATGACCGTGATAAGTGTATGGTCTCACTACGGGGAAGAAATTGTAATACTGTGCTACAGTTATAATGATCAAAACAGCTATAGAAATGTATTTTTGAAAAGTAAAGCATTTATTACATTTTTCTAAAAGTAAATTTAGATTTGTAAGTAATTAGTCACTACAGAAAGAAATTAAAAACAAAATAGAACATTCACTTAAAAAGGCTTACACAATATCGCTAAAAAACGCCAAGCAATGATTTCACAGTAAAACAATGTATATTGTTTAAAGAAAGGAAATAAATAGGTTAGTCAATTGCGAATTATGTATGCAGGAACATTGATCAATCTAATAATGTCTACATATACAGATATGTACCAATATACATAGGTACTATTATGAACACATAGCAAGGCTTTATAAATATACGCTTCGCTCACTCACAAAAACCAGGAAAACGGCTTGTTTAAACAGACAAAGAGTTGCACAGACTAAGTGATAATATGCGCACATATACTAACCTCTCCAGTATCCTATTTGCAATTAACGTTTATTTATTACAAATATAATACACGTACTAGTAATGCACGTATGTATAATTACAAGATAAATAAAGCTAATATCCAACTTACCCTTGACAACTTCGTTTCTATGAACATTGTTGGTGACGGATACAAACTTGTTTCCAATGTGGAATTTGGAGGACTTGGATACGTTTAATTTGGATATGACCGGTGTGTTACTGGTGGAGGGTACAGGCACAGGGGGCAGCGCCTCGTGGTTATCGATGATCACCACCTCTGATCCGGTGCTCGAGCGAGCGCCCGCAACAGTGGGTTCTTCGCCGCTTGGCCACATTACAACTGGTAGTACATAAAACCGGAGATTCCAACTGACGTAAGCGCTAATTGAAGTACAAATGACGACGGCTCAGTGCGTTGTCAAGAGCGCGACTGACTTCGTTGTCTGACCGTCTCTCGCGTTTGCAAACAAAACTGATAACGGCCATGAATTAGCACTACTTGATTCGCTAGCGACTCATCATTGTAATAATGATTTTTCCTGCAATGAGGTCAATTTATTTACTTACTTTATATCGTTGCACTTTATGCCTAACTTATATTTGTGTCATATTTTGGTCAGAGAACTGACGGTTGCGACGATAATCTACGTATAACTTCGTCCTTCACTCGCGAAAAGCTTCGCGTCTTAAGTGGTTTAGGTTGAGTCTAGTACAGAGGCAACAAAGGAATTTTAAATATGATAAAATTACTAATACTAAATATATTACACACGTTCAAGTAAATACATGGAGTCAAAATACAATATGAGAAACGAGATTAATAATTGTTATGTGCTGATCCATTATAGGCTTCCTTGATTATTCTAAGAAAATGTAAATCGATGATCGATTTTACTCAACCGAATTTGCACCTTGCTATGAATTAATAAATAAATAAATTACTAAGACAGTATGTATAATGAAACCTGTAACAAAATTATCTCTTATAAATAAATAAAATATAAATAAATAAATTGTTTATTGAATAACTTATTATACAAAGGAATAACTTAAGACTAATTATGCGTATCAACGAAAAATTTAACACATATACCTGAACTAGGAGAATCCTGTATTTCAGGTAAAAAGTACTAATTACATAGGGCAACAAAGGCAGCCAGGATCCTGTAGTGAGCCTTTTGCGTCTTTAATTGCTTATAATAGCGGTCTTTTTTGAATTAACAAATCGCAAGTTGATAAAATTAAGCTTTGATTCCTCATTGGTCAATACATTACGTGGCTAGTGCGGTAAGAAGTCAGCAGCAGAAATAAACTCGTTTATGCAGGTGCCGTGTGTCGACAAGAGCCGTTGTGCCATGTCCGCCATTTTTTTTCTCAGCAAGTGGTGTTCGCATAACGGGTAAGAAAAGTTAGGTTTCGATAAATAAATAAATAATAAATAAATAACGCACACACTCAACATAGCCCCGCACTAGGGAAACCCTGTGTCGCGGGTGCCATGGACACACACATAGACAACCACAAATTACACCCAAACTCACGAGAGAAATAAATGTAAGCCATACAAACATTTCTCCCGGCCCGGGAATCGAACCTGGGACCTCTGTGTGGCAGTCCGGCATGGTAACCGTTCGGCCACGGAGGCAGTTAAAAGTGACTGTTTTTTCTCCACTTTGTGTTACTTATTAGATTATCTATTCAATTTCATTAATACTGTAATAATTTGTCACTAATTTACGTGCAAATTGAGGGGCTGGCTACTGGAGACTTCGCTTTTTGTAAGAAATCCAATGCTCAGCCTCCGGGGGCTGACTTTTGGGTAAATCGTATATTTTTCAAATCATGACAAAAATTAAATCGCTTAAACCGTTACAACAAAATGTTCAAATTTAACTTAACATTCCCTATACAATTTTATGAAAAACCCAGTAGTCAGCCCTATTTGTAAATATTTTTTTATAAGGATGACCACTGGGTTTTGCGGTATCAGTGTCCAGTCGTCCCTTATTATGTAGGTATGGCTATGGTATGGCTAATAAATTTATTATTTAACTGTATTAACGAGGGTATTTTTATTATTTTTAGTAAAAAAATGGCACCAAGACCGATATACTCGTGTCCCATAATTTCGTTGATTTTCATATACAATTATTGTTGATTTTGTCTCATTACTATTGATAAGTTAGGGCTGAGTACAGGGTACATAGAGGCTGTTTATTGGATTTTAGAGGCTGACTACTGGGAAAAAGTGCCATTTTTTCTTTGAACCTAAATATAATATCAGTGCAGAAGATTTTTATTTGTTACATTATTTATATTAAAACTATAATAAATGATTGATCAAACAAGGTTGTACATTTTTTTATCCGACCTACTCTGTACAAATAACTAAGATTCAAAATTGAAATTCCCGTTCAAAGGCTGACTATTGGTGCCGTTACCCTAAATTTTTTTTATATAGTTTATATAGTTTATATATAAACAAAAAAATAATAACTATACAATAAAATGCAATGATATACCTTTACGCTTCAATTATACAACATTTATTTTGGGATAAGTAAAAGTAATAAATTCTCTGTATCATCGTAGGACATGTTTCGAAGGTAGAATTTTCTTAACCTTTATGTAACAAAAATGATATATGGCCAATTTGGCGTTTAATTTATTGTACAGAAATGGCCCAAGAAACACAAAACATCTGGAAATAAACACATGTTTTGATGATACAATTTTGGGGCAGACAAATCTTTCCGTCTTTTGTTAGTGTTTTCAGTACAATATGGGAGTGCAACGTGCTGTTTGAGAACTGTGAACTTAATAAATAATTGCCTTACCTTTCCCAAAGTGAGCGATAACGCCCCCTTGTGGGCGCTGCAGGCCTAAAGGCGAGCGGTAAGAGACCTAGAAAAAAAAATGGGGGCGTTGTGTAGAGGCTTAGGGATTTCATCTAGGAAGAGTGTCAGACACCGACTGAGCTCTCGATCCTCGACTACAACTTGTGAACATCAACTAATATTTATACTTAATTAAGAGATTGCTCAAACTAACTCGGTTCGATATTTCTCTCCGTGTAGTTCATATATCTGTCCTCTTTATTGAATAAATAAAATAAAAATCATGTCAATCGGTCGCTCCGTTTCGAAATGAAAGTAGACACAAACAAACAAATAAAAAGGCAACAGACACCGTTTCGCATTTTAATAGTTGTTAGCATTCCTGGATGGGTAATTTTCGTAGATAGTAGACCGCGGGCAATCATGTTTGAACTAGTTTTTCAAATAACCCGATTTGTGCATTTCTATATCAATCGGCTGGTTCATAGAATACTTGTTGAGTACGATTGAGCCTCGAATGAAATAAACGAATTTATGCATGTTTGTCTTATTCCTGTCGGTGTGTGCTGCTTATGCAATCCTATTTAGACAACGTAATATTTGTTTTATTTTCATTTGCGTTTTCGCGCGTAAAAGATAAATAGTACTTAAGTTCAACACTTACTTACGTATTTCTCAAAACAAAACAATATCGGAAGTAAAAAAGAAGAGACGGCAATACTGTGCGGAATATATTAAATTCGGATTCATTGAAAATCCCACAAACCCGTCGTCGCCTTTGTGCCTGCTATGTCTAAAAACATTTTCGAATGAAGCAATGAATAAAATTTCATTTCATTTAATTTCATGTCATTTAAATAAAATGCATCCAGATAAGAAAGACAAGATGTAGCATATTCTCAAGACCTAGAGAAGAAGTATAATACTCAGCCAAGTGTAGCAAAACTCTTTTCAGCGGCTGCTAAGCAAGATGACGACGGACTTCGAGCTTCGTACAATATCTGTTTGTTAAGTGCTCAAAGAGGCAAACCACACAACATCGGAGAAGAGTTAATTTTGCCAGTAATAAAGGGAGTAATAACAACCGTGCTTCATAAATCGGCCGCAGATATTGTCCGAAAAATTCCTTTGAGTAATAATTCTGTGCAAAGACGAATTAATGAAATGGCTGAAAACATTGAAGAATCATTGTGCAATCATCTGATGACTAGTCAATTCTCAATTCAGCTCGATGAGTCCACTTTACCAACTAATGAAGCATTGTTGCTGTCATTATTGTTGTGTTCGTGAGGTGTATTAAAGATGAGAAAATATGTGAACAAATATTGTTTGCCAGAAATTTAGAGACCGATACAAAAGGCGAAACCATATTCAATACATTCGCAGCAGCAACGACATGAATCTTTAACTGCAAGGCGATGAACTAAATTTAATTAAAACAAAAAATGTCGTTGCTGCTTTCACAGCCAAACTGCTTCTGCACAAAAAGAATATGGGCAGACGTGAGTTTCATAATTTTCCGAATTTATTAGTATCCTGCAGTAACGACGACTTGTTTGCCTACTGCCAACATTTGGAAAACCTTCACATTAACTTCACCGAACGATACCAGGACATTATGAACTTGGAAATACCAGACTGGGTGTTGGATCCGTTTTCAAATGACAACACGGCAATATCACCTCAGCTGGAAGAAGAGGTTATAGATTTGACAACGAACCTGCAATTGTAGCCTGGATTGTGGTCAATCGTTCAACGATTCTTGATAGCATTCCCATCGTTATATTTTTGAGTACGTGGTTTTAGTAATCTCTGTCTGAATACTATAAAGTTGCGTTTCAATAATCATTCTCATTGGCAGGTGTAGCCCGTAAGAGTTAATTTGAGACCTGAGCGCCGTTGTGTACTACCTACTGCGCTCAGGTCTCAAGTTAACTTTTGCGGGTTATAGTAAAAATCTCGTTTAGAATGAATGTTTAATCCCCGTGATATAGCTCACAATAATCAATTTAATTTGAAGTTATAGTGGTTTTTAAGTAGGTGAAAAAATGGGGGCGCTAAAAAATAATTTATTCTCAAAGTGGGCAGTAGACAAAATAAGTTTGGGAACCCCTGCCTTACTGTTAGTACCTTACACGACTTATACAGAAGGTCAGTGGGGTAAAGGAAAGGGCGGAAAGTAGAATCCTTTAGAACCGCTCGCTGGGCTCTCTAAATGATTAGTATTGAAGTTTTAGCAATACCACCCCAAGATGAAATGCAATATGTAATAATTGATTGACATAATAATATGGCATAATATACTTGCCTGATTATTTCAAAATCGGCAAAAGCGCGTAGTTTTTTAAACGCATATATTAGGTTACGGATTCCACTGCTTAGTGTTTCGATATGGTGCTTAAAAGAGAGGTTATCATCTATTATAACACCTAAATACTTTACCTTGTTAGTAATAGCAATGTCTGGACACTTATACAGGTTATTAGCAGTCTCCTTACAATGGTGAGCATATAGTCTTGTGCTAGTTATAGCAGACTTTGGTTTTCGCATGTAGAGCTGCATGTGTTTAGTGTTAGTAAATGTTGCTGGAGCCAGTTATTTACGACATTGAATCCTTGCTGAGCATACTGATAGACTTCCTTATCAGAGTTAGCAGAAAAAAGCAGAGCAGTATCATCAGCATAGGATATGATCTTCCCGCCTTCTAATTCTAGATTACAAAGGTCATTAATGTAGATCAGAAACAGAGTGGGGCCTAAAATATTGTATTGTATTGTTATAATAGTATACCTACTAAATATTAAGCTTATATTGTTTGTTGTTTAACATTTTGTTGTAGTATACGTAGATAAGTAATAAAATTGTCTTCTTAGTATAAAACGGACAAAAAAACAGAGAGGAGTGAGACAAGGAGATACCATTTCTGCAAATTTATTCACAGAAGCACTTGAATATGTCGTAAAAACCCTTAAATGAGATAAGCTGCGGCATTAACATCAATGGTGTCTCTTTAGGCTCATGCCTAAGGAAATCTCAAAAAGAATCCAGCAGGGATGGGCTGCGTTTGGCAAGTAAGATGACATCTTTAAATCAGAAAAGGTATTACTGAAGACGCACTTGTTTAATCAATGTGTTCTGCCCACCACGACGTATGATGCCGAGACATGGACGCTCATGCAGGAAACTCTGTACAGGTTGAGAGTGGCACAGTGAGCCATGGAGCGCGCCATGGTCGGCATCAACCTCGTAAAACGAGTTCCGAACGTTGAGATCCAACGACAGACCTTGTGTCTAGGATGCTGGAACTCGGATCATGGAACTGAAATGGGGTTGGGCGAGACACAGAACAAGGCGAGGTGATAACAGGTGGAGCGAGACGTCGACTGATTGGTGGCCAAGGACGGGCAAAAGATGCGTCAGACGCCCTGTTGCAAGGTGGGTTGACGATATAGTACACGTCGCGGGGCATCAATGGATGCACAAATCATGCAAATGATGGCACAGGACCGTGATGGATGACATAAACTTCGGGGTATAGGCCATACCCAGCAGTGGGTGAAATCAGGCTGTGGATGATGATGATGACCCAGATTTATACTGGATAGCCCAACAATACCCCTGCCGGATATTTGTTTAAAACAGAAAAAATCACAATCAAGACGCCAAAATAATTGACTTATTTAACGTCTTTATTAGACAAAAACATTAGTATTTTAAGTCAAATATTCG